ATGCTACAATGTTGCTTAAAATTTTTCCATCTATGTTCAGGGGTCTTTGTTGTTGTTGTTGTTGTTGTCATAATCTCTTTGTCTGGTTTTGGTATCAGGGTAATGCTGACCTCATAGAATGAGTTAGGAGTATAGAGTATTCATTCTTTTTCAAGTTTCTTGAAAGAAGAGTTTACATAAAATTCATATTATTCCTTCCTTAACGCTTGGTAAGACGCCAGAGTGAAACCAGCCAGGCCTAGAATTTTCTCTATGGAAGTGTTTTAACAAAAAATTCTATTTCCTTAATGGATACAGGGTTATTCAGATTATCTATTTCTTTCTATGAGTAAGCTTTGATATTTTGTGTCTTTCAAGGAATTTCTCCCTTTTATCTCAGTTTTCAGATTTATTGTCATACAGTTGTTCATAATATACCTTTGTTACTCTTTTAATATCTGTAGCATCTGTAGTGATACCACCTCTTCCATTCCTAATATTCGTAATTTGTGTCTTTTCTCTCTGATCAATCTGGCTAGAAGTTGGTAAACTTCATTAATTTCTCAAGGAACAAGCTTTTGTTTTCCTTGTCTATATTGGAGTTTCTGTTTCTGATTTCATTGATTTCTGCTCTGATATTTATTATTTCCTTTTCTACTTATTTTAGGTTTAATTTCTGCATTTTTTTCTACTTTCCTAAAGTTGAAGCTGAGGTCTATTGATTTGAGATCATTCTTCTATTCCAACATAGGCATTAAGTACTATAAATTTCTCCAGAAGTAATCTTCTAGCGGCATCCCACAATTGACATATTGTGCTTTCATTTTCATTCACTTCAAAATACTTTCTAATTTTAGAATGCAGGCCGCCGTGTGGCACATGTGGAGAGGGGCAGGCAGGCAGGGTCCAGGCTGGGTGGGCTCTGTCACCGTGGGCGTCTGATGCACCGGGATGAGACGAGGTCTGGCCCCCGCCTGCTCTCTAACCAGAGCTCTCTAACCAGTGGAGAAAGGCCTGGAGAAGGCTTCAGTGTACCCTTCAACTCGTCCATCCTGGCAACTCCCATTTTTGTTCCTCCTCCCCAACTTGTGTATTGTTTTTAAAAAAACACCTGCACAAGTATTATTTCAATGGGTCTTCACTGACAAACTTGTGCGAGAAAGGATTTTTCTACCCAATTTGCAGATGAGGAAACCAAGGCTCGGGCATTTTAAATGAGTTATTGGGACACTGGATGGATTGTGTAGGGTTTAAGAGCAGCAACGAGACACCACAGGATGTGCAGGTGCATGAGCACCTAGATTCTAGGTTCAAATCCTAGCTCGTGCAAGAAGCAGCCATCACAATACCTGGCTCCCACGGGAGGTGCCCAGGAACAAAGCTGCTACTGTTATGGCTGTGGCTATTACGCCTATTCTATGATATCTTTAAAGACAAGATGTTGACAAGGGGAGGCATGTACCAACAAGCTTCCCAAAACCAAATGTGCACAGAGCCCAAAGGCAGGCCTGGCTCTCCCACCTCCTGGCAAACTCTGGTTTTGTTAGGATTTCCAAATCGCTTTTCAGCAGGCTATAAGCAGGTGCGAAGTGTTTACAGAGCAATATTGTAGAGGGAGGAGAAACTGGAATATATTTAGCAGCCAGAGTGTACACTATGATAAATGGCTGCAGTGGTCTACGTTGGATTTGGCTCTCTGACTGTCAGCAGTTGTTCCAGCATCTCGAAGTGCTTTACGCTCCAGGGCTCAGCCAGCTCCCATATTTTCTGTGGAGTCCAGCCCTGGAGGCTGTAAGCTGAATGATTCCATTGGCAAAGCTGTGGGGAGCTCGAGTGAAACACTCAGCACAGGCCAACTCAGATGAGAACCCCTCTTTCGTTCTCCAGGCATTTCTGCAGCCCCAGCTGGGGACAGGTCGTCCTCGAGCTTTGGCACCTGTCGGGAGGGCTCTCACTGGAGCCCGTGCCACATTCCGGTCACGCTGCCACATTGTGTACACAGAGTGTCTAACTCAGAAGGTAGGTACTAGGCTCACTATCATCAGGGAAAGCAAGGCTAAGCAGTGCTAAGTAACTGAACAAAGAGGACACCAGGCTGGTGACCCTGTTACCCCACCTATGCCGGGGCTGCTGTTAACAACCAGCGGGACAGCTACTGACTAGACTCATTTACCAAGTCTCATTTATCTCTTAATATACAAGAATGAAACCCCAGTTCGTTATTATTTCTTGATTTGATCCAGCTTTATTTCTTTTCCCTGGCAGGTTCTTCTATTATTTAAGCCTCCCTACAACCCTAAGAAGGAAGCATAATTATTCTATTTTACAGATGGGGAAATTGAGGGTCAGAGAGGCCATACTGCAGAGCCCGGCTTACAGGAATATCATTTCTAATATGCATCCACTTCAACAATCTCTATTGTCAGTCCTAGAAGATTCTTCACAAGGTAGGCACAAAGACCAGTCATGAACATGGACAGGCAGAACTGGTGCAGGCAGGACTGGTGATAGCTGAACGGGGGAAGGAGTCTTTCTGGGAAGCTTGAAGAAACACATGTTATCTTTTCCCACTTCTTGAGGGGCACCCTAGAAGCCGGTTTCACTGAATTACTTGTTTCCATGACTACACCATTCCTCAGTGATAATTTTACAGGTTTAGCACGTTTCCAATTAAATCACATCATTCCTGCTTCGGGGAGAAGGACTCTGCAGCAAGTTCAGCAGTGCCAGCAGGCCCCAGCAATGGATGCCCACACACAACAGCACCATGAGCCGTTCACTTACACAACTCCCGCGTCGCTCCTCCGACGTTCCACTGAGCCGCAGAGCACAGATCTTGACAGCCGGGAAAAGGTGCGTAATTTCACAGTTTTGAATCTACCACCACCTCCACCACCACAGACCTCAGGCAAACTGAAATTCTTCTCTCTTGCCCACAAATGCCCCCACACACCCCCAACTTGGACGGTGCAGTGTCTCTCATCTAGAATGCCCTCCTCAGACTCCACATGTGGGATCTTATCCTACTCAAGGTCCAATCCCAGCATAAGACTAGTAGAAGGAATGTGGATTCACACTCTTAATCCACCACCTGCTAACTCTGTGAACTTGGGAAAGTCACGTAACTTCCCTCAACTTCCATCATGGGACATTTGCAGAGATTGAGGAAACTTATGAACGTAAGGCACTTGGTGCAGTTCCTGGCCTGCAGAGCACATTCCATAAATGTTAGCTCTTCTCCTTCCAGTTTTCTTGATAAGAAACTAGAGGAGAAGGGGCCCCAGGCCATCTGAGGAAAGCGGCACAAGTTCCAGTGTGGCTGACAGGTAAATGGGAATACTGAGACAGAGAGAACCTATAAAGCGCAAAGGCAAGTGGGGTGAATCATAAAGGGCCTTGAATGCAGAATCAAGAGGCTTTGGGACTCTGTTCACAAGAAAAACTCAGGAGAGTGGTGGAGGGAAAGAAGATGTCACAGTGCAGCAGACACAGACTGGAGACTGTCACCACCTCTCAGAGCTATGGTTCCTACACAAAAAGTTGTCGTGACAATTTAAAAGGACAATTTATGTACACGTGCCTGACACACAGGACCTACTCAGTAAAAGGTAACTACATTTAAATAATTACGTTTACAAACATTCACCTAAATCTACATACATTTATAATCATCTCAAAAAAAACAACAACAACGCATTCAGCCTTGCAACTCCCAATTGAAGAAAACAAAATTCATGCCAGAGCCACCATTACCCAACCAAGTATGAACGATGATCTCCTGATTTGAAATTTTACCCCAAACTCTAAGAGTTGATCCTGTGGGAGGAGGCCGCACAGTGGAGGAGCTGAACTGCAGAGGCAAACGTAACGATGCTGAGAGGCCTGAACCTAAAGGAGAAATACAATAACCGTCTGGTGTTGGTTACCAGGAGGCTGCAGGTGAGGTGACACCTGAGGGCCCTGTGAGGAAGTCACTTCTCCAGCTTCTCCTCCATCACTTCCTACCAGAAAACTACCCCCAACAGAATCAAAAGCTTTGTAGTTCCATGCTTGTGTCACACTGTTTCATGCCTCTGTGCCTTCACACCCTCAAGTGGGAAGCATCTTCCCACATCCCAGTCCCCTTGGCTAACACAAAGAGCCCTAACACACAGCCATCCAGCTTCTGTGTGAATACACCCTGTGATGGAGAGCTCCCAGCTACACCAACAACCTCTCTCTTTACTGCGGGGCCCTAAATGGAGAAGACTCTCCACTAAAACATAGCTCCTCATAACTTCAGTATGACCTCTATCCACCAAAATCAGCGTATTCCCTCTGGCCGTGACCACACTTCAGACAGCGTCCATGTTCCTCCATCCCTCATCTTATTTTCATCAGATCAGCCCCAATTCCCCAAAATTCACGGTACCACTGACTCACAACCAGCTTGGCCAGGCTCTTCTGATGGGCCTAATCAGTCAATGCCCTCTTAAGTTTTGGCATCAAGGTTGTAAGCAGTACCCCAAAAGGCTGGGCCTGAACACATGCTTACGTGAAAAGTCATTTTGGCAACCTTGCCGCCTACATCCCAGTCACAGCTGTTAGACGTTTAGTCTCCTCACTCTACACACTCTCCCTGGGCAGGCTGAGACAAGCGGAGCTTTCCCAAATGCTGATGACCCCAAACCTGAGAGCTCTAGTTCACACTCTCCTTGAGCTCCTTGGAGACAACTCTCTCTGCTCACACTGAAGTCCCAGGGGACCTCAACTTTGCACTGATAGTCACTCGTTACTGTATATTCATTGTGGCTTCCTTAGTGCTTATAAACCAACGAGTGGAAGGAGGTACCAAAGGATTGAGGAAAAGTTTATGGGATAAATAGCTAAACTGAAAATAATTATGCAATAAATAAGTTTTTCAAATGAATAGGAAAAAAGGCAGGAAATATTCCACTTTAATCACTGCCTTCCTTGATTCAATCCACAAATTCCCAATACTTCAAGGAAACAAGAGTTAGCAACACCAAAACACAATGCAGTCAAGCTTGCCACTGCTTTCCAGAACATTCCATGGAATGAAAAATACTGAGAAACCAGCTTTCCACAAACGCAATTGTATTATCAAACAACGCTTCCTTTCCTTTCTGAAAAATACTCAAAAGTTTGCCTCCGAAAAGGCTTGGCAGAAACCAAGAGTGCCAAGCCACCTGGCAGACTGCACGTGTGCAGGACCGACTCACCTTCACGTGGCTCGAGTCCCCAGGTTTGCTGCCCTCAGGTGGGTTCACGGGTTTGCTCTCCACTCGAGGCCTAACAACCTGTCGAAAGGGACTGCACAGTGGAAAGCCGCTCACACTGATTCCATCTAAAAGGTAAGAATAAAGATCGTAGATAAGAAGTTAGCTGGATTTTTTTTTAATGTAGGGGGTTTTATTCAAAAACAGTAACTGGAAGGAGCACTTGACGCCAAGCCCACCTTTACCTTCAGGCCTTTGTGTGAGACGCTCCCTCAGCCTGGATCACTTCCCCTTCTGTTGGGGTGGCTAGCTCCTTCGTGTTGCTTTAACTTAGCCTAAAAGCCACCTCCTCACCCAATTTGAAAAAGCCACTGCCCTCTGTCACAGGACCCTATTTAAACCTCTGTAGAGCACTCACTACTGCCATCTGATCTTTTTCCTCCCTGGTGACATTACCTACCAGTCTAATCCAGGACTCACCCTTAAGTCGTCTCTTTGTCTTACACCCCAATCAATCCAACAGGAAATCCTGTTAGCTTTCAGAGTATATCCAGAAATGGCTTTCATGGCCACCTGAGTCACTGTCACCTCCCTCCAGGACTAATGAAGAGGCCTCCTGGCTGCTCTCCCATGTCACCATGGTTCCTTTACCATCTACTTTCCCCATAGCAGTTGGAGTTGGCCTATGGAAACATAAATCAGATCATGTCCCTCCCATGACACCGTGTTTTACTCAAGATCTCTTTGCACAGCACAATTGCTGCGTGAGTTTGAAGAAAGATGCACCAGCTTTGTCTTTTCAGACCAAAAAAAAACTGCTGACAACAGTGTAGATAAGTATCTTTTGCACCTCAAAAGAAACTGACCCAATTATAAAATGGAGCCATTTCTAAATTAGATGGAGATGCCTGCCAATTTTGAAGAGACATTTGTTAGGAATATAACCATGATAAGTTAATTTTTAAATGACTTTCCTTAAGTAGAAAAAAGGCAAACTCAAAATACAATTCTAGATGGTAGCAATAGCATGGTTTTTGAATCCCTCAGAATCCCAACATAAAGTGGACAGAGCAGCAGACAGCAACACCAAAACCCAGTTACCACCAAACCAGGGACCAACATATCATCACCCCCAATTTACAAGCAGGTGAGTACAAACCCCCAATAGCCCCAAGACCTCTGTAGTGTCAGGGCTTCTGCAAAAGAAAGGAAGAAGTGGTGGGGCACCTGGAAAAATGCCAAGGAAGAACCCGAAATTGCCAGCAAGTGTTCAATGGAAAGTGTAGCAAGCCAACTGGGGAAACAGCTTGATCCAGAAGCAATCTTGTCCACTCCAAAAGCAGATGGAAGCAAGGGGTCCACAAGGAAGACTGAGGGAGGTGGGGACGGCTAGCCTTGGAAGTTCTTGAAAGTGACACACCCTGGTTGTCTTCCAGGACAAGGGTCCAGGCTGAGGAGAGACTGCCATGAATGTAACCAAAATTAAGATGGAGAAATTAGAGACGAAGGCAGGACAAGATTCAAATAAATACAGGAGGGAAAAAAGGAGCCAGGAAACCTCAGACAGCACGCCGTTGTATTCTTAGTTACCACACCACAACAACGGCAAGCTGTCAGAAAAGTCACCGTGACCATGCTTCTTCCCACAACTCCACAAAACTAATTTTATACAAAAACAAGTGAGAGAAAAGTGTCAAACCCATACGAACTTCAAGCCCCATGCTAGGTTATCAGAAGATAAAAAAGAAGAAGAATGCAGACCAGAATAAAATTTCTACACACAATGAAAACACGCCAGAAAGACTCATTCAGGGGAATGACCAAAACTGAAACGTTCTATTTCAAAACAAGCTAAGACATTAAGACAATGATACAAGAAAGATAAAAGAAAACCATAAATCAGAATTAGAAAACCTCAAAGGAGGTGACAAATTAAAACCCATTTTATAAAAGTACCACAGTTAATTATTTAAGATGGTAACAGTTGGAAAACCTGGAGGAAGGGCATACATGAACTCTTTGTACTTTCTGCAGCTCTTCAGTAAATCTAAAATTGTTTCAAATAAAATATTTTTGGGGCTGGCCCTGTGGCTTAGCAGTTAAGTGCACGCGCTCC